ACGTGTCGTCGTTTGAAATTGCATATAAGAAATAATAAAATTTAAAAATATAATATACTATCACATTTTATTGATTTTAAAATATTTTATTATAGTATAAAACTAACTTTGGAATACTTTGAATACTAATATGTAATAATATATAACAAATAATAAAATAATAAAATAAATGGTATTGGACTTCAATACAAGAAAAACATGAAATAAAATAAATACCTATTTAAAATAATGAAACCATAAAAAAATGTATAACAAATGACTTAGACTTAAGTTTGTTTGTGAAAATCTTTAAAACAACCTTCTAAACATACAGGCTAATCTTGACACTCGGCACAAAAATATTTAGTATCCTAATAACTTTTGAATAACAATTAAACCTTTGCACATTTATCTTTTACTATTTTCTGAACTTTAACGGTAAATGAGTTTGTAACACTTTTTAAATTGGATCTGGAATATTTTGACCATTGCACAACCCTGTATAACTGCAAGCCTGTAGTCACACAATTTCATTTTTAATAGCGTTTGTTTGTTTAATAAGTGCATAAAATGTAGGCCAATTTTTATACCATCTTAGAATTTTCTCAAATGGATAATACGAAGACATTTGGTCTGCCATTCTATATAATCTGACATGTTTTTGTTGTAATTTTTACGGAATGGATTTTTAACTTTTTGTATAACTTCAATAATTTCATGTGAGGAAATTGCACAAGTCATTAAATGTCGCGTTGTCCTTCCATTTGACGACACAAATACCATCACCTCGTATACCTACAAATACTTTCGGGCCTCTTTTAATTTTGTCTTATGACATCTATAGGATTGATTAATGATTCTGCCTTAAAGTCTCGTTACGTATGTTTTCTTTATCAACGTTTCTGTGATAATTTCTACACGTTGTAAAATTATCCATAAATAGAGATCTACCTGTATATATTAATCCATTCATAAGATTATTCAAACTCTTGCATGAGATAAATCTTCGATACGCCATGGCCTTCACCCAGAATACACCATATTTCTATGAATAAGTCCCTATGGTCCGGTGATCATGTACATTTTACACACCCATTTGTGCTCTTTTGTTTTGTATGTATTGAAGAAAATTGACCAAGTTCCTCGCCATAAACCATTGATTCGTCAATCGACAAATTTTGATGGTTCATAGATTTCTTTCATTTTGAACTAAAATAATTCAAATAGCTGAATTTTAGAGCACCATTTCTAGAAGCCAGTTCTCTTGAAGGTTACTACGAGAAAATGTAAAGTCTGAAATAACAACATGAATCTATTTCTGACTATGTTCTCGCGTGGTGTGCCCACCACCTTCATCCTAGCTAGTTTATTGAACGCATATGGAAGAGTACGAAAATAACTTCATTTCTGATTTATTGCATCAAACCAAGTAGAAATTTGCGCATTATTTGAAGTAGTACTACAGTAAAACATCAACCACATACATTTGTTTTCGATTAAGAAGTCCAACACCTGTCGCAATAAAATTAAAGTAATTCCATAGGTTGATCTCCTGGTATATATTTTAAACCAGGTACCTATAAAGACAATATTCTGTCGGGATCTGTAACCAGTCGTATTGATTTTCATTACAGCTCAACAACACATATCATTACTGTACGAATATTATCTTCATTGTTTATTTCATTTTCACCCGATAAATTACTCATCCAATTCATCATTATCATCATCAATTGAATCAATGTCGAAATCTTTATCCGACGAAAACGTACCATTTTCAAAATAACCAGTAACTCGTTATCAGAGGTATTTGTTTTCATACTTTTGAGCATAGAACTGCTGACGGGCCATCTTGAAAATTCATAATATAATATACTATACAATACTTATAATAATGAATTACATATAACTATAAGATCTTTTAAAGTACACGTTCACGTGTTAAATCGATTTAACAGAAAATAATAAATGTTTATCTGCTATACACTATTCATATTGATAACGAATTTATAAGCATAAAATACCGGCCGAAACAGGTGTTTGTTTTGTTCTAATACTTATACTGAATGGCCGTACTAAATATAATAATCGTTCGCCAACAGCCGATCATTTTATATAACATACAAAATAATTGTGATATGACGACTACGAGTCGTCATCGGCTGGGCGCGCCCGACATCGGATGACAACTACACGCGTCGTCATCGGCGTTCAACGTGTTAATAGACTATCACTATTGTTGCGTCAGTGAGCCTCTCTAACACCTATCGAGGTTGTCACTGATCACACGGTCCTCCGGAACCTTGGAAGTGATGGGGGGAGCTTACGAAGTAATTAATTAAGTGAACAAATAATAAAATTATACGGAATATATATATATTACAACAAATAATATAAGGAGAGCACCATTAACAATATATCTATGTATATGGGGGAGGAAATGGGGAGCACCACCCTGAAGAACTGGACCTCGATGGTGATCTTGAACCAAAGAAGCTAATCTGCCTTTCCTTCTGGAGATGTAGAAAACTTCCGGAGCTGGAATCGACCACGTGGATGTCGGAGAGCGCCGAACTGCAGTACACGCGAATACGGATCACGTACACGTATACAAGATTAAATGGCTGAGCACGAGCGAACGGTGAGATTGGAGCATGTAATCACCATTAATATTGGGAGCACAACAAATTATGCGATTTGCAAAAAGACGAGAGCACGTGAATAACGGACGACGGAGCAGAACGAACGAACAAAAGAGCCGTTGGCGGCGGCGTCCGCATCATTACCCGGACCAGGGCGGCGGGCGCAACAGTGTCACCAACATTAAGAGTGACCGAGCGCGGTCGTGGATCATATGTCCAAGACCCGGGGCAACGTGAAGTGGGTACAATGGACAAACGGATCGAACATACTCCCCCTTGCAAGTTTCCGCTTCTTGCAAAGCGAGTTCGATTTTCTGAGCTGAAGAGTAGGCTAACTGAGTAGTTGAACAGGGCCAGTTGACAGAGCAGTCGAGCGAAGTAGTCTGACGTAGCAGTAGACCAATGAACGGAGCAGTTG